CTTGTCCATCTCTTATCAAACAGCATCACCTGCTGGATTCAAAGTACAACAGCAAACGTGACTAACAACTAATGTATGCTCATGTTTGTTGCAACTTTATACAGTCATTACATATGAAATATACAGTTTTATTGTTTTAGTGGACCTTTGGGCTGAGAGCAAATCACAAAGTGTCGAGCACCTGCAGGACTGATTTTGGTGACATCAGCTGCTAACTGGACGAAATATTCAAGCAGGTGACGAGTTCAGTCACTCAGCCTCAGTCAGCCAAGCAAACAAAAAAAAGTAAGTAGGGAAAAAAGCATTTTCTGCAAAAATACCATGTGAATGCAGAGCACTGAATGAACTGGGTGCAGTTTGTAAAAATTAAAACCATCAGGACAGAAGCTGAATTTAGCAAAACAATAATCCATCCATCCATTATCTTTAACCGCTTATTCCATTGTTTTAGGGTCACGGGGGTCGCCGGTGCCCATGTCCAGCAATCACTGTGTGAGAGGCGGGGTACACCCTGGACGGGTCTCCGGTCCGTCAGAGGGACACATACGGACAAACAAGACAAACAACCATTCACTCTCTCTCACCTAGAGACCATTTAGAGTTACCAATCAGACTAACATGCATGTTTTTGGTCTGTGGGAGGAAACTGGAGTACCCCCGCAACCCAAAAAGGAAGAAGCGGGTAAAGATAACGTATGCATGAATGATCGGAAAACTGAAGTCACTGTGTTTATTCCTGGCTCTACCGCTGTCAGTGATCCCGGTAATCTTGACTCTTCGGCCATATCTTCAGCAGTCTGTTACGAATCGTGGGATGGTTTTAGACTCGGACTTTAAGTTCAATAAACAGATCAACTCTGTTCTTCAAAAAAGCTTCTTCCATTTAAGACAAATATCTAAACTTAAGCCTGTGTAACTCACTTTATGTTGGGGTCAGTCAGGTCTTCCTTTCATGTCTCCAGTTCATTCAAAATGCTGCAGCTCAGCTATTAACAGGAACTCATAGGTTTGAGCACACTTCACCAGTTCTGTCCTCCTTTTACCGGCTCCCTGCACGTGTCATTTAAATGCGTTAACGGCCTCGCACCCGCACACCCCTCTGACCTTCTTCATCCTTATGCTCCTTCTCAGGTGCTGAGATCATCAGACCAGCTGCTTTTGGTTGTACCAAAAACCAGGTTGAAGCTCAGAGGAGATGGAGCGTTTTCAGTCGTGGGCCCTAAACTCTGGAACAATCTGCCCATCAACATTAGACAGACCACCTCAGTCTCTGCCTTTAAAACTCTCCTGAAAACTCATCTGTACTCACTGACATTTAACACAAGCTGATCGGATTTATTATCCCATTGTTTCTCATTGTGCTTGTGTTTTTATTTTTGATGCTTTTAATTTAATTATATCTCGTTGCTTTTTACTTGATGCTGTGATTTTATTGTTAAGCACTTTGGTAACTATCTCTGTTTTAAATTCAATTCAATTCAATTCAAAAATACTTTATTAATCCCAGAGGGAAGTTATTTTGTTGTTATAACTCGTTGTCCTCATTTCATTAAGAGATGTTATAGATGCTGATGCTGTAGACAGGAAGGATCTCTTGTAAAGGTCCATCCCACAGTGGATCCTAAGAAACTGGCAGCAGATGCCGTCCGATCCGTCCACCCAGACTCGGCTGACCTCTCGGTTCCCCTGGACTGTAGGACCGCTTGAATGCTGGGCAGAACTCCTCCCAGAGCGATGGCCACTCCTCCCAGCAGTCTGCCGAGCTCCTCGTTGCTGCGGACAGACAATTGTAGGTGCCGAGGGACGATCCTGTCCTTCCGCTGTCGTGAGCCGTGTTTCCTGCTAGTTCCAGGATCTCAGTGGTCAGGCACTCGAGCACAGCTGGCAGGTAGATGAGAATGCGTCCACATAACATCCTTTTCAACTCATTTGAGAGTTGGGGCCATAGTTGAGATATCATTTGAGCTTTTGAGATGTTAATCAGCTGCTGTTGTTGTAGAAAACAGCCTTGTTGCCATGGTTACGCATCATAACAAATGTCCAAAACTTAAAAAGTTTCAGTAAAAATCCTTCCGGCTGCACAGCATCTGATACCAGAGGAAAAAATCATACCAAAAATATGATTTACATCCAGAAAAAGAGGAATTAAAGTTTCCAAAAGCAAAATCTCAGAATGAAAGTAACAGAGCTGCTCCAACATGCAGCCACCTGGAGCGGCGCAATTCTAGAACATATGTGAACAAATGTGCTCTATAAATAAATTTGACTTGACTAAATGTGTTTGAGACTGGAACTGAGGTTCATTATCCAGCCCTAAACACTCCACTGGTTTAAGAAGAACCAGTTAGATGTCTTGAAGTGATCCAGTCAAAGCTAAGAATCTCTGGATTGATTTAAAAATTGTTAGACCCAAGCAGAGCCCATCAACCTGAAGGAGCTCCAGCAGTTTTAAATCACAAATCTAAATAAAGCAGTGAAAGAGAAAGAATACCACGGGGAAGGAATAACACCGCTGCGGTCCTGTTGCCTGCATCTCATAATTAAATAAATGTACTTCTGTAAGGTCACCATCTAAACACTGTCTGACTGAATGACGGATGAAGCCACTTGATCCTGTTTGTGTTGAGAGACTGGACACACCCTGGACAGGGTACCAGTCCATCACAGATGAAGGATGAACTCAGTGTGAACATAATCTAAGGATCCAACAGTCTGAACAGTTTTCACCTGCTGTTAATAGGACTGAACTGAATCCTGCTATTTCCTTTTCTCTAAATACATCATAAAAGGAATTAAAGGCTTTTTATTGGGCCGTGTAAACGTTCCTTGAAGGAATGCAAATCACTCACACCTTTCATGCCAGAGTTTAAACTGAAGTATTCTTATAGTGAGAAGAGAGTGAGCTGGAACCATTTTGATCCAACTTCTCAAACGGCCTCATGCATGAGTTGATGCGACACTAAGAGATCTCATAAGAAACATTTTTACTCAAGTATATCATTTGGATAAATCTCAGCTAGGGTGGCACAGTTGGTAGAGCTGCAGCCTCTCAGCGAGAAGGTCGCCGGCTCGAATCCTGGCC